ACAACACTGCTCTAAATCCAATGGCACTTAAAGGTGTGTTAATACTGATTAAACATTAAGAGAGACAAGACTTCATTCTCCTGCTCTTCATCTCCAAGGGCTTTGGTGGGGAAGAATGAGATAATGGGTGCTAAGTGTTTTGTACTGAGAGTGAAGGTATACAAGATCAATACCAGCAGATATTGAGGTGTCCACAATGTGACCAGGTGCCAAGGAATGTCCATAAGGGTAGAACTGCAGCCAAGTCTCCTGGATTTGCTTCCTTGGGCCCCTTCCTTGGGCCCCACGCCTACCCATATGACCACATCCTCACTATTCTCCCCTAAACACAAATTGAGGGACATACAAAGCAAGCACTGTACTTACTTCTTAACCGATCCGTCCCCTCCCCCATCCCCAACACACAGGGAGACTTTATGTTAGCCTTGTAAATAAGAAACACCATTCCACAGTTATTTTTCCAGTCTGCCTTTTTTTAACCGCTCACCTGGCAGAAACTGTTATTCTCCTGGCCAGCAGCTATTTGTAAAACTGGTCTGCCTCCCTATTTTTATACCAAAGATACTAATTCTTTAGTAGAAAGGGGAGTATTCCAAATAAGACAATTAGCAAATCACCTAGAATTTCCAGCCACTCCACAGAGGCACACAAACAAGAGAATTAACCCAATTTGTTGTCTATAATAAACAGGACGTTCTGCCCACCACAGAGCCCCAGAGGTTTGTAGGAGATGACTAATTCCTAGTAGTAATGGCTACAATGGCCCAGTTCCTTATTTTATTACTGTGTGCTGAAATTTTAAAGGCGCTCCTCTCCCACCCCCATCTTCCCTTGCATACTTCTGCACATCAATCCATTAAGAATCTGAAGTGTAATTTATCTTATTCACTATTATCCTGTTAAATTGCTCTACAGCTGCCATGGCAGTAATTGCAGTGATCAGTGATTCAGACTTCTTAAGCAAAGGGCCTTAAGTAGGTTTCATTATTACAATTTCCAAAGGTTTTATTATTGAAATAAACCTGAGATAGAATAGTATGCCTCCATGGGGCAGTAATACTAATGATTCTTAAGTTATGAAGGGATGTCAGATTCATCATCAATGTTGCACTCGTGAATACGAGTAATTGGGAATTTATCAACCAACAAAACCAACTGGCATTCTAAGAATGAAGAATAATAATAATCTCATTTTAAGTAGCATATGCAGTACTGTGCGACCCTTTAAAAAGCTGCTTTTGTTCACTGGAGTATTGCTTGTAATAGCAAATACTGGAAACAACTCAAGTGCACATTTGTAAGGAACTGAGTCAATAAAGTAGGAGGCAGCCATCCACACAATGGAATACTATGCAGCTCTGATATATGAATGAGAAAGCTTTCTCTGTACCAACATGGAAAGATCCCCAAGACATACTGTTAAGGACAAAATAGTACAGAACAGGTTATATAATGAGTTACCTTTCATGTAAAAGAATGTGAGGGCGTAAGAACATATGTTCATATCTCCTTTTATTTACATAAACACTGCACAGCTATATAAGGAACTATTAAGAGTGACATATAATAAGGAGCACAGGTTCTACAGGGTGGACCAGACAGAGGTGGAAATAATACTCATCAACAGATGCCTTTCAAAAAATTTTTTTTCATATTTTAAATTTACCTTTACTACCTATTTATTTGGTTCAAGGCTCCATTTCCTCCACTTTGGGACCAGGTAATCAGGCTTTAGACTACTTACCTCTGTCTGTCAGAAGTTACTAACCTCATGACAGGAATAATTTAGGTTAGAGGAGTAGCAAAACTATTACTCAACTGTTTCCTTAGAAAAGGAGAAACTCATAAAACATATGGGACCCCAAAATGTGAACATTATATGTAAGACTGGGTTAAAATGTCTTCGAAAAATGTCTTCGAAAAATGTACAAACAATAGAGGTGTGACAGTATGCTGAAAAAAATATGAGGGGGGTGGAAGAGTGGGATAGAGAGTGGTCCTCCTTCCCTACTCCCTTTACAATGTTGATTTCATCCTTGAGTTTTCATAATGGACTTTTGTAAAGGTGAGATTTGCATCCAGTTTTAAGACCACTTTCAGCACAAGTGCTTTTTTTATTAAGTATTTCTGTGGTTCCCCTTCCCCTGACAAAAAGGAAAGGGGAAGCTATTGTTCAGGACATGTAAGGAGTTTATCTAGCTTTGTGGGTTAAAAGAGCCCACAATATTTAATAATATTTAATAAATTTATTAATATTTAACAATGTTTAATAAAATTTAGCCACTTGCCTAACCCTTGTGTCAGAGAATTCTTGCTCTAACAAAACACCAAGGACAACTAGACCCTCCTACCTACCCATAGCCTCAACTAGATAAATGCAAACATGTTGGCTCACTCCTGTAATCCCAGTACTCTGGAAAGTCAAAGTGAGAGGAACACTTGAGCCCAGGAGTTTGAGATCAGCCTGGGGAACATAGAGAGATCCTGCCTCTACAAAAAAATAAAAAATTAGCTGGGCTTGGTGGCATGCACCTATGGTCCCAGTTACTTGGGAGGCTGAGGTGGGAGGATCACTTCAGCCTGGAAGGTCGAGGCTGCAGTGAGCTATGATCATGCCATCACACTCCAGCCTGGGTGACAGGATGAGACCCTGTCTCTTAAAAAAAAAAAAAAAAAAAAAAAAGATAAATGCAAATATGAATCGCCTACAGAATTAAAAGGCCACAAATGTTCCAACGTTAGCAGGGAGTCTGGGAGGAAACCTCCCAGCTGCCCCAGCCAACCCAACTAAGAGAAAGAGGTTGGCGGCCAGAGGAACAGATAAGGCAAGGCTTCATCTGAGCCTATCAGCTTCTGCAGAAAAAATATTCCATGGTCATGGGATGACCTGACTGACTGATGCAAACTGTCCACACAGCTAGTTACCTTTGCCTCCTCTCTGGATCCAAAATGTAATGGAAATGAATGCCTTATGGAATCTATCCCTGCCCTTCTCATCAAGCACCCTTCTTAGGAGAGCCCACACTAGCTGATGACTCCGGAATTCTGGTTACCATAAGTCTAGGCATCATGCCACTGAGCTTTGTCTTTCCAATTACCTTTTAGACATTGCTACCTGGATGTCCCAGGTGTCCCATGTCCAAAGGTTAACTCCTTCTTTCTGGTAGCATATGCTCTTTGTATCTCCACTTCTCCTGTCTCAGTTAATAGCCTGTTGATTGATCTATTTCATTCTATGTTCATGGAACACTAACCATGCACCAAGATCCCTGTACCAGAAGCCTGAAGAGCACCTACAGTCCTCCTTCTGTCCTACTCCTATTTCTATTCACCTTGTCAACAGTGAGCTGCACTGATTTTTTACCTCCTAAATATCTCTCAAAACCTCACTTCCCCTTCATATTCACTGGCATTCCCTTATTCAGCATCTCATCATTCATTCAACAATATTTAATAAGTATAAAGTATAGCTAGGCGTATTTAAACGGAACAAAAACGGTGTGATCTTTGCTTTCTGGTAGCTCAACACCTAGTTATTTCTTAACTGAACTATTCAGATATACTCTTGTCGCCTACCATTAATTATCTCAACAGCAGCCAGAGTGTCTCCTCAAAACTTAAATTAGATCATTTAATTCAGGGGTAGTAAACTTTTTCTATAAAGGCCAGATAGTAAATATTTTAGGCTTCTGGGCCATGTTTTCTGTTGAAATTACTCAACTCTGCTCTTGTAACATTAAAAATAGCCATGGAGGATATGCAAACCCATGGGTGTGACAGTGTTCCAATATGGCTTATTCATAAAAATAGGCAGCAGGACAGATTTGACCCATGGGCTGTAGTTTGCTGACCCCTGATTTAATTAATCACAGTGTTTCTTACTCCACTGGAATTAATCCAGATTCCTTCCCATGGTTTAGAAGGTGCTTCATCCTCATCTAACTATTACTTGCTCCTCTGGGCTCCACTATGCTCCAGCCACTCTGACCATCTTTACGGTGCTTAAACACCATGCCAAGCCTGTTCACATCTTAGGTCCCTGTACTTGCTGTTATACCCATCAGGACCACTCTTGCCTAGATCTTCTCATAGCTGTCTCAGCTCAAATATCACCTCCTCAGAGAGGCCTTCACTGCCCACCCCCATCAGTACCCATCCCAATGCCCAAACACTCTAACTCCCATAGCTCTATTTTTTTTTTCAAATTACTTACCACTATCTGAAAAAATATCATTTGTTGCATGTATATAGTCTGCTTCCCTACCACCACACTACTCCATCACTACTAGAATGTAAGCTCCATGAGGGCAGAGACTGTCTTATTCACTCGCCCCCTAGGTTCCCAGCACCTGTATCTGTGCCTGGCACTTAGCAGGGGCTCAACAAATATCTGTTATCTAAACTGTTATTGCCTCTAGTCTCCCTCCCTCCAACCCACTGGTATCTTCACTGCCACCAGTGATCTTTCAAAAATACAAATGGGGCCAAACATAGTGGCTCACGCCTGTAATAGCAGCACCTTGGGAGGCTGAGGCAGGAGGATCGCTTGAACCCAGGTAGGTGAGGCTGCAGCGAGTCATGATCACACCACTGCACTCCATCCTGGGAAACAAGAGTGAAACCCTGTTTCAAAAAAAAAAAAAAAAATAGCAGTGTGTAGTGGTGCACAACTGTAATCCCTGCTACTTAAGAGGCTGAGGCAAGAGGATCACTTGAGCCCAGGAGTCTGAGGTTACAGTGAGCTATGATCACACTATTGCACTCAAGCCTGGGCGACAGAGCAAGACTCTGCCTCATTTAAAAAATAAAATAAAATGCAAATGAATCATGTCACTCTCCTACTTAAAATATTTCCATGGTTCCCCACTGGCTTTAAGATACAAAAGCAAATTATGTGGCAAGACCATTATAGCTTTTATCAGACCTTCCCACACTCTCCCAGTAGTAGACTGTGAGCTCTAAGTGGTAAGGACCAACTCCTGTTTATCTTTTTATCTCAGGTACTCAGCATAGTACCAGGCACATTGTTGGTGTTCCATGAATGTAGAATGAAATCAATCAATCAACAGGAGTACAACTAGCACAATGCACGATTCTAATGTGGTAAGTACCCAATTTAAAGGCAAGGAAGCAAGATTTTGCACAACATTTTTCCTTTCTTTTCTTTGGAAGCAACCTGGGTAGGGGCTATGCTTATAACTCTGAATCTAACTTTAGATTTTGTCACCCAGATTTTACCTGGCAGGCAGCCACTCACCACTTTCTAAAAGAATGGCAGGAGAAGGCAGGGAGATAAGTCATGCAAATCTATCGTGCTGTTTCCTGTGATCAGCTCTGATAAAAAGGTTAGGAAAGGAGACAAAACACAAAGGCTAAAATGCAACTTAGGGATTCTCCATGGATTCCAAGTGTCTACATTCTCCCTGTCATCTATTAGCAAAGAAAACCTAATGCTGGCTCTTTTGCTGTATAAAATAACCTAAGAGGTTCAGGGAATTTCTTCAGAACTGCCTCACCAACAGAATGGGAATTGTTACTTCTAGAAGAATTTCCATTAGCCCTTTAAAATCCTTCAACATTCATTAAGGCCAAAGAGTTTTCACCTAATTTAGCCTGATGGGTATGTGAACAGAGTCTTTCTAGGGAATACAGACTCCCAAATTGTTCAGCTGGGAAGTAAGGAGGGAATTTATTACTCAAAATCAAAGGGAAATGAAAAGAGGCCAACCCAGAATTCATTACTCTCCTTCTTGGGTGGGGTAATGGGTTCCAGAGTCATTCTGTTACCTTAACTATGACCTCTTTACTTAGCATCTAAAAGCTTCTGGTGTTGGATGCAGCCAGCTAGGTTCTCTTCTAATGTAATAAAATCTGCTTCAGCAAAGCTTATACAGAGCCATCTCCAGACTCCAGAAATAATAGACTATAAATTACTGGATCTCCCATTTGATAAAATGAAGTGTAAGTTAGCACAGTCCTGAATGACCACTCCACATGCTATTCTGAGTGGCTCAAAGTGAACTTTGACACAAGGACTGGAGCAAGCACAAAGCAGAGCTAGATCCAGGATTAATTCGCTTAAGCCCAGCTCCTCACTACTCACCTATGAGTCCAGTTCCAGAATCCAAGTAGAGAAGGGGGGAACAAAGCTCCTAGCTTTTTCCCTACTGTCTGCATCTCTTTCACATTTCTTATCTTCTTATGAAGAAGCTAAACAGGCTCAACTAAAATAACTAAATGATTAAGCCCTATACAGACAATCTCCAGAGATTCACAAAACTGCATTCAAGACAGTTACAGAGACAACTCTGAGGATGACTTGATGTACCAGCGATTTACCATATTTGGGGCCATACAAAATTCCTGTCAAGGATCTGCCTATATCAACATGGGAACCAAGAACCAACCATTCAAATGGGCCCTGCTGCCAAGCCTCTTTATAATGCCATCTCTTCATATTGTTCCATTTAACAAAACTGCAGCCCATCATCTAACCTTAAATCCGTGTGCCAATGATACACAGCCAGAGTATGCTACTCCCTAGAGCAGGAAATCAACATGATGACCCACCAAACACCATTCAGAAGATGCTGAGACTCATGAATCACAATAGGAAAGAAAAGATAGAGAAGTAGTCAGCCAAATACATGCTGTGCCAAAAGTGCACTACAACCCCCCACACCACTCTGCCTAATCCTAGCTGGGCTGACACCAACCTGATTAGACAGGCCAATAAGATCTCGAACTGAAACAGGAACTCCTGAACTGGGTTCTTTAGAACCCAGGAAGCAGCAGAGCAAATCATTAAAGACCAAATAAGATCTTGATGAGGTGAGGGAGGGTTTCGGATAAATGGAATGCTGGTAGAACACAGGGAGCAAAAGTTAACCTGAGCCCAGGTGGAACCTTGCTTACTAGAGTATTAAGCATGAGTTGGGACAACTATTCTAACCAGAGAAACTGGCTCCAGTGAGGGCAGTTTGGCAATCCAAGGTATGGCATGCATATGGCTGGCAAAATTCAGGGTGACTGAAGCAAAAGTTTCAGAACCATAAAGACTACAATGGAGGTAGAGCACAAAATTCTCAAGAGATGAATCTTTGTTAAGAATGAGGAAGAACTACATGGTGGTTTTCGATCTGTTGATGCCCAGCAAGAGTTCATACTGGCTATAAGCAGGGGTGCAGGCTGTAATCGTAGGAGAGGAGGTTCACAAAAATAATTCAGTCCTACAGCCCAAACTGTGTTCTCTACTAAAAGGAATCAAGGCCCCCTAGAGAAATGACTGACTCCATGTATGGTGCAGGATATAGATCCTGGAACATCTTTTTTTTTGCCAGAAAGCAAGGAAACCATCGAAGTCCTACAGGATCACGTCAAAAGGCCATTGGAGTCAACCTGAAGAGATACTTATTAACCTAAGATGAGACAATATGAACATCTAAAACAATTAATAGTGACTACAATGGGCTGAAACACATCAAATACAAACAATAATCTATGAGTTCATAACCATATTCAGAAAAAAAAACTATTGGTCACTACAGTGGAGGTTACTAGGTCACTAACTCATTATTCTGAAAAATGACTTAAAATGGGAGGTAGGGTGTAGAATTAGGTATTTATCCAGTTTCTCCTGTACAAACGTAAATGTTTAGGGAGATTGAAGTAGATGAAACAAATCTGGCAAAATGGAGATAACTGTTTAATCCAGGTGTTTGGTACATGGAGATTCATTATATTTCTTTTCTGTATATTTTATATCTGAACCTCCTCCAAAAAAAAAAAAAAAAAGCAAGACAGAATGTGAGCTAAGCAGCTTAGAGTTTAGGCAAGGCTTCTGCCTACAAGAGAGACTAGGATATGAGGTGCAATGTTAGTCCTGATGGGCCGAACCAACTGGAGGGATATACAGAGATGCCAAGTTGCAGAGGTATCATGTTGCCCAGCACTTGATCTAGAATCCTAGATTCTAGATCTGGTTGGTAGCAGGTTTACTAGGTGGTAGATCTGACGCTACCTATAGAACTTCCTTTGCAGTCATGATTAGCTCAGAAACTACAAAAGGGCTTGCTCTTGAAAATGGAGACCGTCTTTGTCCATTTCATGCTGCTATAACAGAATGCCACAGACTGCATAATTTAAAAAAAAAGAAGAAAGAAAGAGAGAGAGAAGGAAGGAGAGAAGGAAGGAAGGAAGGAAGGAAGGAAGGAAGGAAGGAAGGAAGGAAGGAAGGAAGGAAAAAGAAAAGAAAAGAATTTCTTGCAGTTCTGGAGGCTAGGAAGTCCAAGGTCAAAGAACATGCCTCTGGTGAGGGTCTTCTTGCTGCATCATCCCATGGCAGAAGGGCAAGAGAGAGTGAAAGAGCAAGAGGGCAAGAGGGGCTGAACTCTCTTTCACAAGGGCTAGCAGAGAAGTATGCACAGGTTAAGGGAAAAAGTCACAATGAATCCTGTAGTGCAGTCTACTTTATCAAAAGCAGCTCAAAAAAGATCTCATTAACTCCCCCAACTCATCTCCACCCACATCTAAAGAGCCACACACAGCACCACCAAAGGCAGCAGAATGAGAACAGCGTTCTCCTCTATAGACCAGCTGTGAGTATCCAGACAGACACCCGACCTCGACAGCTCCACAGCAGCCCCAGAACAGCCCCTCCCTAACCACCACTCAAGTAACCAGCTGGGAAAGTATTCAGAAAACCCGCATCCTGACACACCACTGCCAAACAACTTAAACAGCAAAGAACAACCCATCTAAACAGCAATGCCGGCTGCCAGGAAAAGTTGTGTAGAGACAATGAGTAGAGGAAAAGCAGATCCCTTAGGGTCCACCAAGAGACCCAGTCTCTCAGCTTCAGCACTTCCAAATGCACAATCCATACACCTCTGGGGCCTGTGGATCTCCACGAGGCATATTGTCTCCTTCCATCTCCTCAAAGATAAATGAGCAGGCAAGCTGGCCAGAAAACCACTCAGGGTATTACTCTTCAAAGAATCTTTATAGGGTCAAAGAGGAATGGGTCTACAGGCTACACGTATTCCCCGAAGATTTTCAGGATGATGTCAGAATCCCTTTCCAGATGTGTTTAACACTTTGTGGTCACTTGTATTCTTGCCACTGAGCGCCAGTGCTTTGTTCATTTGAACTGATTCCAGCTCACACTGACTCCAGCTTCCTGGATCTGATTACATTTAGCCAAGACTGTCATCCATACTGTACCTTTTCAAAGAGTCCTAAAAACAGCTCTTCACCTACTCTTTCAAAACAAGTAATAATATCTGCCAAAGAACGGGGAAAAAAGATGCAGAAAAAGAACATAATTAGCATACTACCAAGAGACCAAAAAGTGAAGGGAGAGGAGAAACTAAAAAATTACATGTGGGCTCATACTTATTTCCAAAGCAGGGCTAATATCCTTTTGCTTGTGTCTAAGGCACCAATTTTAAACTGTTACTGGAAAAAAAAAAAAAAAAGAGAGAGAGAGAGAGAGAAAGAAAAAAGCAGGCCCAAATCTTAAAGTAAAACTTTCAGCATACAAAATAAGAATTGGTGAGAATTCCATTCCCTGGTTATTTACCCCATAGGCTGAAGAGCTGCCTCTGCCTCTAAGGATCAGGGCATTCTGTGTTTGATGGCAGAACCTAAGTCAGAATCCAGCACAATCCCTGACAAGTGAGAAGAACCTCAGGGTGAGTTGTCCTGACCTTGAGATTGCTTCTCTAACTCTTCAATTAAAAAAATATATAAGAGCTGGGCACAGTGGCTCATGTCTGTAATCCCAGCACTTTGGAAGGCTGAGGCGGGTGGATCACTTGAGGTCAGGAGTTGGAGAACAGCCTGACATGGCGAAACCCCGTTTCTACTGTAAATAAAAAAATTAGCCAGGCATGGTGGTGGGCGCCTGTAATCCCAGCTACTTAGGAGGCTGAGGCAGGAGAATCACTTGAACCCGGGAGGTGGAGGCTGCAGTGAGCCGAGATCACGCCACTGTACCCCAGCCTGGGTGACAGAGCAAGACTCTGTCTCAAAGAAAAAAAAAAAAAAAGAATCAAGTGGGAGATCCCCTCCTGCCACCTCAGTTGTTTGAACTCAGCTACTCTAGGTCCACCTTGTCCAGACCAAGGGCTCCCATGAGTGACAGTGAGACAGATCTGATCACTTAGAGGGCTAAAGGTAATTTTACAAAACCTGAAGATGTATAAGGAGAATGCAGCTGCTGCTCAGAAACTCCACTAGCCCAACTTGAAAAGACATCATCTACAGAGTAATACCCAGTTCTCAATTCTAGGCCTCATAGTTTTGCTGAGTGTCTCAGAAAAATGCCCTAAACTTTTCTGGTCTTCTTTTCCCCACCTAATGCAAGAAAACTAAGCTAAAATAAATTTTGTCACCAAACCAAAATGAAGCTCTCCAGGTGGTATGACTACTATACTCAGGAGACGTGAACTTCCCTTAACCCAAAAATAGCTATCTGGAAGTCAGCATCCTCAGAGTACATTTCAGATGCAAACTAGAAATATGTCGGTGTAAACTATGAAAGTCCAGAGCCGTTGCTTGAGTAAAACTAGATGCAGCAAAACCATGGGCTTTATGCATGACTGGTATTGTAAGAGAGGCCGCAGGGAGTAGAATTAAATATGACACCTTCTTGACATATGATCAAAGCTCCTTCTAAACTCAATTTGGGGCACCATATATCACAAACCGGACAGCAAGAAATTAAGTAAAATGTAAGTCTTTTTTTATACCATCCCAATTACATCTTGGTCAGTTCACAAACATGTTCCAGCAAATGCTGGAGGAGTTTTTCTCTCTTTAGGAGTCCTCTCTCACTTTACCCTGTTTAACAAAAGACCTCACACACTTAGAAAGAGGATGGAGGCAGGCCAGCTTTGGGACATGCTGCACGGGGAGGACTGACTGTCCCAAAGAGTGAGCTCTACACCCCTCTGACAACTCCACAATAGACCAGCTACACACAAATGCCTGAAATAAGGAAGTCCATCAAGAAAATGAACAGTTGGCGAGATCAAGGCTTCTGGCCCAAAGGGCCTGCAGCTGGTCTGGCCATTCATCAAAAAATCTGAATTTAAATGGAGACACATTTGACTGTGACATGTAAGAAAAGAACTGGAGTGACAAAGGGTCTTGATTTTGGTTTCCTTTCCACCCTACACATCTGCCAATGGAAGAGTGAGAGTGCCTGTGGTGCTCCTGACACATCTGGGGTAGTTCCCATTCACAGTGCTCACCCTTTGGGATTTCCACACATTACAGGGTCATCGTCCATCTACGCTAACCTAGAATGTCCAGATAAAAGCTCCTGGTTAGAGACTGGAGAGAAAATTGTCAAATCTGAAAGCCCACAAACTGTCTCAGCCAGGGGGAACACATGTAGGAAAGACTACAGAATCAGATGTCAGAAGCCTAATTTCAGATTGGCCCCTACAGATTTATGACTGTGAGTAATTCACTTACTTTCTCTAGGCTCTGTTATTCTCACATCAATAATGAGAAAAGAGGACCAAACAGTCCCCCAGATCCCTTCCAATCGTAACATCCTCTGACTTTATGATTAAAGAGTGGTACTAATAAGGCTAAATCTGTGGCTTAACCCCAATAGGAGTCTTCCGGGATTATACTAAGAAAACTATTCCACACAGACAGAGCCACTCTGACCATGTCCCTCTCTACACCAGCCATCATACAGATATGTGCCAATGGTATGAGAAGTCCTTTTTACAGAAGACATTGACTGATTAAATAATAGGCTGATTTATTCATTCAACCAACAAATATTTACTAAGCACCTTCTAGGTATTTACAGATACAACAGAACAAAACAGACAAAATCCCTTCCCTTATGGAGCTTACATTTCAGTGAAGGAGGAGGGGAAGTCAGACATCAAATAGGAAATGTGAAGTGGGGTATATTTCATGCAGAGTAGCCTAGAGGTTCTTGATAAGGTTACTTTTTTTTTTCTTTTTTTTTTTTTTAATTATACTTTAAGTTCTGGGATACATGTGCAGAATGTGCAGGTTTGTTACATAGGTACACATGTGCCACGGTGGTTTGCTGCACCCATCAACCCATAATCTACATTAGGTATTTCTCCTAATGCTATCCCTCCCCTTGCCTCCCAACCCCCGACGGGCCCCGGGTGTGTGATGTTTCCCTCCCTGTGCCCATATGTTCTCATTGTTCAACTCCCACTTATGAGTGAGAACATGCGGTGTTCGGTTTTCTGTTCCTGTGTTAGTTTGCTGAGAATAATGGTTTCCAGCTTCATCTATGTCCCTGCAAAGGACAAGAACTCATTCTTTTTTATGGCTGCATAGTATTCCATAGTGTTTACGTGCCATATTTTCTTTATCCAGTCTATCACTGATGGGCATTTGGGTTGGTTCCAAGTCTTTGCTATTATGAATAGTGCTGCAATAAACATACGTATGCATGTGTCTTTATAGTAGAATGATTTTTAATCCTTTGGGAAAGGCCTTTGATAAGGTGACTTTTGAGCAACAATCCAAAGCAGTGAGCGAGTGAGCCATGCAGACACTATGGGAAGAATGTTCCAGGCAGAGGGAACAGCAAAGCCCTGAGACAGGACAGGGTCAAGCATGCCTGGCATGTTAAAGGAAACACCATGAGCCCAGTGTTTATTAAGAGGAGAAAGAGCAGGAAAGTAGTAGGAAACTCAGTGAGACAGATAGTAGGAGCCAGATCATATAAAAAAATGGAAAGTCATGAGAGGATTTGAACAGAGGAGTAAACATGATCTGAATTCCATTGCAAAAGGATTGTTCTAGCTGTTATATTGAGAGTAAACTGAAGGAGGCAAGAGTGGAAACAAGGAAACCAGTTGGGAAACTACTGAGATAATCCAGGTGAGAGATAATGGCAGATGGGCCCAGGGCAACAGCAGTGAAGGGTAAAGAGGGACAGAGTCTGGGATATATTCTGAAGTTGAATCAATAGGACACTGGAGGACAGGATGATCTTGGAAAATCTTGGGACTACTGCAGAACCTAATGAAGCTAAACGGCACTAAATTCCAACATCCACTGTGAAATCCTAAGACTAGGGATTTGTTCATCTCTGTCACCTAGCATCCAACCCAGTACTTCGCACATAATGAGGATACAAAAAATCTTGAATGAATAAATGTGGAACTGAATATATTACAAAGCCAAAAGATGTGCAGTTTGATAGGTCATTGGGAGACCAAAAAGCATCTGGTAGTAGACATATTTCACCAACAATGAATACCCCTCCCCTGAGTGAATCTTATTTATTTTTATTAAAAGTTCCTCTTTATAACTTATTTCACAGTAGTAAGCAATGACGCTGACAACTTCACATAATACAGCTAAGAATCTGAACAACTTGGCCATTTCCCTGAGAGGCCAGATACAGTCACCAAACCTTACACCGCCTCAGCAACTCCCATCTAAAATACAGGGACAAATATTACACAAACAGTAAGCTCATGTTCTTACAGATACTAAATCATGAGGGTAACTAAAAAGGTATGCTTATGAATAATAATATTATAATAAACAAGGAATAAAATAAGCCAAATCTATACTATTCCTATAGGAGAAGCCAATGGGCTACCCTTGAATGTGCTCCACTTCCTCTGTGAAGCTGAGAACAAAAATGTCTAGATTTTTTTTTTTCCCAATAGCACTGCTCTGAGAAAGGTGACAATTCCCAACTGCAGAAGCTCCTCGGTCAAGGTGACTCTTGAGAGTCCCAAAGTTCTTAACCCACAGAGACTGACAATGTACAATATATAGAAGCAGAAAACTGAGCATAGGAAAAAGGGTACATTATAAACTACATTCTGGCAGCAGTTTCCTCGGTTAAGTCGTTGATCATCTTGAAGGGCTAAATTAAAACCCAACATTAATCAGGCAGTAGGTGTAAAAAAACATCTTATTTACCAAAATAGAAAAAGGAGGAAGAAAAATAAGACATGTAAAGTGTTCGAGATCAAATTACATTGTAAGGGAAGCTGCAATATTTGGGAGACCAAGACCTAGACAGATTCATCAGCTGAGTTGGAAATCATTTGATGTGACCTTGGACTAATTATTTAACTTCTGTGCCTCTGTCTCCCATCCGTGCCTGAGTCTCCCTTCAATGTGAAGGAGAACAAATGATTTCAGCCCCCTCCTACCTTAACAGGGATGTTATGAGGCTGAGATCATGTCTCTGGTAGCTCCAGGGGTTCCCTGCAGAAAGGCACTCCACAAACAGAGGACACTGTCTTTAGTAGGATAATTAAGGATCAGGCTGCTCTTAGAAACACCCCCACAGTATGGAGGTTCCCTCTCCCTGGCATCATTTGGCTTCAGAGTTGGGCAACAAAATATGCCTAAATAACATAACAAACTCAGGGTTTGGGGCCAGCATCTTGACAAATACTGTCAGGAGCCCTAGATGTGAACCCATTCTCACATATATAACTATATTCAAGTGTTTAATAAACATTTAGTAATGCTTTTAAGTCACCAGTATCTTCACAGAAATGACCATACTATTGCCCATCTATTAGAAGAGATGGTGTTCAAGGTATGAAGTAGCAGAAGGTTTGTGATCATGAACCCCTGGGCAAGTTAAGATCCTCAATTTCCACCTCTATAGGTGGAAGTATAGGCCTAACAATACTAAGGATTAAAAGTG